AGTTCATCAAACATGCTTTAAAAACATGAACACTACCCCTGTCTAATCACCAGAATGTTTAAGTTCCCCAAAACCATACACGTACATGTACACCCAGTATGTAATGCCCTAAATATCATATTTATGACCTTATTGAAAATATTTAAAAATTTGAAGGCTTATTTGAATAATGATAAAAAGATAAGAAATGATTGGAATAGTGTTTTAGACAAATTTGTAATCATGAATAAATATAGAGGGTATTTTGGTCCTTTAAGGATAAATGAATTTAAAATTCATTCTTTATTAGGGGTTTAAGAAAGAAAAAGGGGAAAGTAAAGCCAATATGTTATCTCATTTCTTCTTCTTCCCCATTTAAGGACAAGCCTCCAAAGCCAATGTAAGCTTAATTTAACTAGCTCTTCCTCTTGTTTTTGGGTTGTTCTTGGAACATTGAGTATTGTAGAAGCTTAAGGAAGGTTTAAATAAGATTAAAACTAGGATATGGATGAAACATTTGAGATTTAAGAAAATGGGTTTTTGAATGATATGTTAGAATATGAGTTTTTATTGATGTTTGCTAGTATATTTGACTTGTTAAAGAGGTAAATGAGAGATTATAAGCATTGGATATGATTAAGAACATGTTAGAAAAAGTGGTGTGATTCTTAGATTTGAATGTTATTGGAAGATTTTAGATGTTTTAAGAAGCTAAATGAAGGAACATTAGTATGGAAAAGTAGAGAAGAGTTTAATAGTATTTTTGGGAGTAAACATAAGGAAATTTGACCAAATTTGGGTAAATTTCGGGTTGAAAAATGAAAAACCTGGGTAAGGGTATCGGTACTGATATAATAGTACCGATACTATAGGCTAAAATGGGATGAATCTGCTAAGTAGTATCGATATTGATTCAATCAGTACCTATATCGAAGGGGGAGTATCGATACCGAAAGGAAGGTATTGATACCATTCAAAACAGAATGCAAAAATGGTATCAATACCATAGCATAGTATCAGTACCATAGTATGGTAGTATCGATACCATGGTATGGGTATCGATAGCGAGGAGCCAGAAAATGTAAGATAGGCTGATAATGTTGTAGAAAAGTTAATAATATGTTATATTGAGTAATGTTTAAGTGTAATTGTTAGTAAATATACTTCAATTGATATTGTACATGTATTTAATGGATGCTTGAGTAGATCGAAATCAAGCTTCTGAGTTAAGTAAAACGAAAGGCAAAGGCAAAGTACCTGAGTAATCAGTTTTGTATTTTGGATACAGTAGCGAGGAAAGTCAGGTGAGTGCATTTAATTGTGTAACTATATGTTTTACTAATCATATATGTATGATTGTTTAATATGTATGAGGTGATTACCAAATAGGCACTAAGTGTGCATTTCATGAAATTCATCTTATGTGGATAAATAATCATTTCGGTACTAAGTGTGCATTTCACTGAATTCATCATATGTGGATGAATAATCGTTTCGGCACTAAGTGTGCATTTCACAGAATTCATCCTCTGTAGATGAATAACCGTTTCGGCACTAAGTGTGCATTTCACGAAATTCATCCTATGTGGATGAATAACCGTTTAGACACTAAGTGTACAACCCGCAAAATTCATCATATGTTGATGAACAACCGTTTCGACACTAAGTGTGCAACTCACGAAATTCAACATATGTTGATGAATAACCGTACATGCACTATGTGTGCAACTCACGGAATTCATTATAGGTTGATGAACGATCGTATAGTCACTACGTGTGCATCTTAATAAAATGATAATGACTAGAAAGTTAGTAATTTACCGTATTGGCACTACTTGTGCAAACTATAGAGTTATAGTGAATTGAAAGAGTTAATTGAAATTATGAAAAATTATTAGAGTAGAAACTATTTTAAAGTAAAAGATTAATGGCCTAGCTGTGCATTTGGCAGAAAGGTGTCAATCATGCAAGTTAGATGAAAGACTAAATGCCTTTGGGTAAAAGACTAAATGCTTAACAGTGCAATTTGACATAAATGGTTTCATTTATTTAATTGAAAAGGCATAACGGTGCATTAAAGGCGTGAAAGGATGCAATAAATGAAATGCATAATGGTGCATAACAGGCATGAAAAGAGGCGGTGATGGTATGAAAGAAATTTAGTTTAAATAATAGGGACTTATATAATCCTTATGGATGATGCAAATATTCCATTAAAATAATAGGGACTCCAATAAAACCCCCAATGACAAAAATAACATGTATGTAGTCGAATAAAAAAACGATAATTTAATCCATTAAAACATGAAAATATTCCATTTTCAGAAATCATATACGAAAGTACAGTAATCCAGATATCATATCAGAAATATATAGTAAATCAAATATCAGATAAACCATGTTCAGAAAATCAAGTATTGTGTATTAAAAATATTTAGTATTATCAAAAATCTAAAACAGTTCAGACAAATAGTTGAAAATAGTAATGTAACACCAACAGGAAACACACTTGTATCGGTCTTAGTAGTCTGATAGGGAAGACTACTACTGAGTCTGTCAATCACGATCATCGGTAGCGCTAGATCATACGAATCGAAAAATCCATATCGGAATCCTAATATGAATAATATTAACCTTTATTTAAATAATTTATGGAAACCTACGGGTAACTCTCATAGAACGCGGATTGTGTGGGTCTGACGAACGGGAAACACCAGATCTAATAGACCCTTGGTCGAGTGAAACACGAGTATCTTCCTAAAACATTAAGCAAAAATGCCAAAAACACTAAGCATTTTCGGATTAACGGGCTCAATTTGGGGCTTTCGGGTCAGAATTTAGGAAAACGAACTTTGGAATCAAACTCAGGACGTCAAAAAGCATAAAATATGAATTTTTAAAAATTTTGACTTTTTGGGTCAAAGTTAACAGTCCATGATGGACCGGGTCGGGTTGGGTCGGGTCGGGTTCGGGTAGGCGGGTCGGGTTCAGGTAGGATCTAGAATCCACCATGTGGTGGGACTTCCTCAGGCGCAGACGGCGGCTCGTGCGATGTCGTATAGGGTCAGAAAAATTCTAAAAAATTCCTAAGTGTGTTTTAAGGGGTTTTGAGACATTTATCAAGCTTGGTTCATAACGATGAACGACGAAGAGCTCGATTTCGAAATGTCAGAAACTTTATCTTTCAACCCCTTCACATGTCGGCGACAACGGAGACAAGAAGGACACCGGTGAACTCGGGACGAAGCAAGGAACACGATAGTGCAGGAGGTGTCGAAAAAGGAGTAACGATCGACGATGAAACGACGATCAAAGATTTCTTTCTAAAAGAGGAAAATATTGAAGAGGAAAAAAATTGAAAATTTTATAGATTTCGGTGTTAGATAAATCCTGAAAATGGTAAAATCATGCGATAGGTCATCTAGTTTTTGATAATTTCTGAATTTGGATCTAATTTAATCAAAATTTTACTTTGGCCCCGAATTTAATTAAAATTTTAATTTAATCCTAAAAAAGTTTAAAAAAATTTAGGCCCTAATTTGGGTGTGACAAAAAGTCTCCATCTTTTAAAAATGGGCTAATTACACTTTTAGTCCCTCTTTCTCTTCATACTATGTAAAAATCCCCTATTTATAACTAATTTGGCTCAAGTCCAACCCAATTAAGCCCAACAACTTAAATCTAAAACTCATGAGGCCCACATGCCTCTCGGGTAAACTCGAAACTACTAGCCTGAAAATTGGGGTGTTACAGCTTGAAACATAATGTCATTGAGCAGTGCTTGAAAGCGACGATGGTTCCAGTCGACATCATTAAAATATGATTTTATCATATCCTAATCAGTAGCTTAACGTCCAACTCATACGGTCATTAAATTTTTAACAGAAAATAATAAGTTTGAAACATATGAATAATTGAGTGATCATTTTATAACTTTTAATAATTAGAGGACTCAACAAAATAATGCTATATAATCATAATGACCATTTTGTAACTTTTAATAGTCAGATGACTTAGCAAAATATCATCATATAATCTAGGACCATTTGTGTAGCTTACCCAATATGTTTTTGTAATTGTTATAAGGGTAAATTTCACGCTTACTCACTAAATTTTACCCTCTCTCCTATTTCACTCACCGTACTTTCAATTTTTCAATTTGCTCACTAAACTTTAGACATTGAATTTTTTACTCACTCTAAGATGATGTGAATTATTTTATTGTTTTTTTTCATATGACGTGTTATATTTCATACCAAAATATGATTAAAATAAATTTTTTTTAAAAAAATTACAATTATACCCTTAAATTATACCTAAATTCTCAAATTATATCCTAAACCCTAATCCTCATATTACAACCCCACCCACCACCTCCCTTGACAAATCCACCATTCCATCGACGATGACCCTTAAATCAACGAACAATCAAGCTCACCTCTACCCTTCACTCTCTTGTTCATCTCTCATGACCCTCAATCAAACCAATCAACACAAATATGAAATTAACCCTTTGTTGATTAGTTTAAAACCAAACCCCAAGCACAACAAAAATTCCAACAAAAAATCAATGGTTCAACACCAAAGAGAAAAATAATTTACCTGGACTTAATCAATGATCTAACACAAAAAAGGCCATAGGAGACCACCGTGTTCGTAACCACAGATGGTGCTAACCCTACCCACTATTGAAACTTGAATGTGAGACTGAGAATTTTAATTTTAAGGTTTGGGTATATATTTTAAATTTTTTTTATCCTAAATAATATTAAAATAATAATAAAAACATGCCATGTCATATGTTAAAATAGTAAAATAATCCATGTCATCAAATGAGTGATAAAATTTTTTTAATGTTTAAAGTTCAGTGAGCAAATTGAAAAAATTAAAAGTATGATGAGTGAAATAAAAGAAATAGTAAAATTTAGTGGGTAAGCATGTAATTTACGCTTATTATAAAATGTAAGTATAACTTTATTTATTGGGTTGCCAAGTATTTTTCACTTGGAATCACACTTAAAAAACGGCCTCTAGAAGTCTCTTCCTCTGAAAGCTATCTTCTTCTTTTTAAACACAACCCCACCGATAAAGGAAAGCAAAGCAAAGCAAAGCTAAAGCTCAAGAAGAAAATGGATCATTCAGATAACAACGATCACCCTCAGCTTCCAACCATCAAGATTCGCCACCCGTCACCCCCTCACCACCCTACCTCCGCCGCCACACCCACTCCCACCGCAGGCGCCCGCCGTAAGGTCGGTGTAGCCGTTGACCTCTCCGATGAGTCTGCCTTCGCCGTCCGCTGGGCCGTCCAAAACTACCTCCGACCCGGAGACGCCGTCATCCTCCTTCACGTCTCACCAACCTCCGTACTCTTCGGAGCAGACTGGGGCCCACTCCCCCAAACCCCTCAGAGCGCGGAAACTCCACACTCCCAGAAGCAACTGGAAGACGATTTCGATGCCTTCACGGCCTCAAAGGTGGCGGATTTGGCCAAACCCTTGAAGGAATCCGGGGTTCCCTTCAAGGTTCATATAGTGAAAGATCATGATATGAGGGAAAGGTTGTGTCTCGAAGTGGAGAGGTTGGGGTTGAGTGCTGTTATAATGGGGAGCAGAGGGTTTGGGGCTGAGAAAAGGGGGAGTGATGGTAAGCTGGGAAGTGTCAGTGATTACTGTGTGCATCACTGTGTTTGCCCTGTTGTTGTTGTTAGGTACCCTGATGATAAAGATGGCACAAATGCTGAGCCCGTGGTCACCATTAAGGAGGCTGAGGTGGAGGAGGAAGGTGCCAAAGGTTAGGGCTTTACTTCTTTTTTGTATCGGTTTGGTTACAAAGTTGGAATCTTTCTATTTGTATCAATGCGTAGCACTGATGGTTTGTAGTGTTTTTGTAGCTATGAACTGATACATAGGATATAGTCAGGGATTTAAGTTGCAGTCCCGTTGCGTTTGTCGCAATTGCGGCAATAACGGCTGCTATTGCATAACGGTTTTGGAGGGCACCTTTACCGCTATATAACAGCCGCTATTCTGGTAGCAAACCGCTATAGAAATCCCTGTATAAAGTAACAACTAACAAAGGCTCGTCACATGATCCATGGATTCCATACAATCATCTTACATACTAATTACTAAGTTGTTAAGTTTGTTTTGGTTCTGAATGACTGAAATTTAGTTTATTGGTAGTATCTTGATGTTTAATTCGGATGATTTACTATTGTTTATTGTTTATTGGCTAATATTTTTATTGTTTTCGGCACTGATAAGGCATAACAGCTTAACATTACCTATATGGCTGATATGATATTTTAGTTGGTAAAGGTTGGTCCTTTCCCGGCATAATTTGTAGATGATTACGTATTGGGAAAATGTTTAGTATGTTTTGGTATTAGTGATTCAAGCTATATTTCTTTTCATTTTCTTTTAATAGTCTAATTTGGATGGCTTTAGAAGCCTTGTTACTTTAGATGATAAATAGGGCAAGGTAGAGGAATGCGGTCTATATAGCTCATCCAATGTGTGGGAAAATGTTCGGTTTCTTGTCCTTGTAGCTTATATGTTACATAGCTTAGTGTGTGCCTTACATTTTTATTTTTTTAGTGATGGCATGGTTGTCGAGTGGATAGGCTTGTTTTCGTGCCCTTTCAATTTTGTTGTGAACTGATATAAAATGGCAGTGTGTGGAATTGCGATGTGCTTGGTAATGATTTGATAATATATTTCACTGCTAACTTGATATAGCAAGGAATGTGTATGTCTCTTGTAAATTGACATTACTGTTTAATGCTTCTCTCATAGCGGATGCTTAGCAAGCCCCTTGTACTTGCAGCTTTATAACATCGGTAGCGAGTCCACGTTTCTGGTATCAGAATTTTCTTTTGTCATGTGCCATTCTTTTTGTGCAACCCTGTCAACAATTCAATTTTTCTTGTTTTGTAGATAGCATAGTTGAAGGCTCTTAATTTCGAGGGATTGTCGAGTAAAGTGGAACCTACGGTTTTTCTCTTTCTACTTTCATCTCGTAGTATAATTCTATCGACTCGTATAATTCTATCGACGATGTTGATGTATGGTTGATGAGGTTCTTGATTTCATTTTTATTGCACTATTGGGGAGATACTGTTGTACAATGCTATAATTACAATATGAACCCAGTGGCAAAGTTTGGTTTTAGTATCAAATGAGCCGTTCTAGTGTGATTATATATCTAAACTTTTTTTATTATTAATTTAGGTTGACTACATATCTAAACTAATACTTCTATTGCATCATCTTATTTTGGTTTCAATCTAAACAAGTGTTAATTTATGTTGAGAGTTTATAATTGCTTAAATTGAAGATTAGGGCATTTTTTAGGGGAAATAAGGAAAATATAATTTTTTTTAATATAATGTCTGAATTAGGTATAAACCTTAAATCTAGAGCTTATTTATGATACTATGCAATTTGTGCAACCAGATGTGCATACAATATGCATGGGATTGGCCGCTTCAATGGGATCTTTTCTCCTGGCCGGAGGAGAAATTACCAAACGTCTAGCATTCCCTCACGCTCGGCGCCAATGAGTTTTTTTTTATTTGATGGAAAGAAAAAGGAAGACTATGCCTTCGCCATATGAAATATGAATTAGTAAATAAAAATAGCATGGCACCTCGAATTCGATATGAATTATTTTTTTGATTTCTTTTTTTTTCAAACAAAATATTAGATTATGTATCGAAAGAGTATTATGAGAGAAAGGGCATTTCCAATTTTATCTTAGCTGTCGTGGGCCCATCTCAGCGTCACAAACTTTTTTCTTTTCACACCAGAGGCTATTAACAATATTCATGTTATAAATATAAAAAAAGAGTACGAAAAAAAAGACTATTTCTTTCTTTCTTTTTTTGAAAAAAAAAAGAAACTTTGGGATTGTTGAATCACATACGAAATAAATAATAAATATATAAAGCAACGGAGCCATTATAATATTTTAACTTTATCCAAAAAAAAAAAAAGAAGGGTGGTAATTGGGTGAAATGAGACATTAGGTAATTTACGTAAGGTTAAAAGTTTAGATGCTTACGTAAGGTTTAAATTTTAGTGTAAGGATGGCAGTGGGTTGGGTTTTTGGTCGATCCGACCTGAAAATGTGTATCATCCACTCGAAAAATTTAACCTGACTCGATTTGAAAATTTTATATATTCTGCTCGACCCGATTAAAAAAATATATATCAGCCACATGACTCTAATTCAACCCAAAGTTTTATAGTATAAATTCAACTCGATTTGACATAAAATAAGATTTAATTAAAAATAATATTTTTTAAAGAAATTACATTATTATTCTTGGATTGGTAAGATTGAAGTTTTTTCACCTTACATCCAAACCCGACCCGACCTCTCATCTTAAAAAATTCTGCTCAAATCCAATTTTTTATAAAAAAAAAATTGATCTTATTGGATCAGGTCGAAACATATCGAATTCAGGTTAAATTGTCATCCTTCTAGCACTTGTGAATGGAGTAAAGTGGGTTGAGATGATTATTTTCACTTCTACAACATCTGATTCAGATTAGTAGATATAGATAATTATATATAAAAAACACGATCATATAAAAATATTGTTTTATTTAATCAAGTAGTAAAATGTAGAGTTTTCATTTCAGTTTTGTTAATGATTTTTATCCACAAACTATTAGATGTTTACTATGTATGTATACAAACTTCAAGTGTATACATTTTTCATTCCCACTCCTTAGTTAATACTTGCAGGTTCAAAAAATATTGTTGTTTCTGTTGTTATGCTCACAATGTAGGTTTATATAAATATTTTATATAAAAACTGGAATTTATTTCAAAAAATTAATAACCTTGTAAGTATATGAAATTATATAAATTCATTAATTTTTGTCTTCAATTTTAAATATGAGCTTCTAATTTGTTTTTTTTTTTTTGGAAACTGAAAAGCCGACTCGTAACGTTGAATACAGATATAAATGTCTTGCAACAAAAAGACCAAAAACCAAACCAAATCCAAAATAAAAATTAATGATGGAAATACTTAAAGGACTCCGGCTGGAAAGCACCAACAATAAAAACTAAGCAAGAAAATGATGAAAACCTAACACTTATTGACTAAAAGAACGATCGACGGGCATTTCTCCCTCCTGCAAAAGTTACAGAGAAAACGAAGAATGCACAACGCAGGCAGAGGAAGAAAAAACAGATTGATCCTATGAAGTGCACGAAACATCAAACAAGCAAACTATGGGGGGTCTTCCCCAAAGGAGCTTCCTCGATCCAGAACCGGTCAGAGAGTCCAAGCAGCCATGGAACTGATTTCTGAAAAATCGGATGAGTCCGATGAAAGTTTGTTTACTGCTGTCTTCGAATCTCCTTCAAAAATTACACGACAGAAACCCATTTCCAAAGCGAACTCGACAGCATGCAAAGCAGACATGGTTTCCGCGCCAAAAACTGATGTCTCTGTATCTTCCTTCCGCAAGCACCCATTATTTGACCTAATGAATTCCTAGCAATCACCCCTGACCATCCATTGTGTTGTGCTTGCGAGAAACTGGCATCAAAATTAATTGTGATGAACTCATCTGGAGGTGGAGACCAGCGAACCAAAGATGGACCTGGATTCGAGCATTCGCTACAGCATAGTCCTTGCGTTGTGCCCGAATGAGCATAAGCAGTTCATCGGGTCTAGTAACGTTTCCTTCATGATAGTATTTATTCCTAGCATACCATAAAGTCCATATGCCCACTATAATTTCTGCTTGACGATCCGAGTTGTTATACATGATCAACCAAATAAACCAGTCATTAAAATCAGACACTGAAACTTGTAGTGGCCACTGAATGCGTAAAAGATTCCAAACATAACCAGCTGATAGTTCGTATAGCATGGACACTCGTTTCCACTTGACTTTTGCAAACCAAGCATATCGGATCATTAGTCAATCGTTTAGTGAATAAATTGAACTTTGTGGGAACAAAATTCTGCAAAAATGCCATACCTTCAATCTGATTTTTCGTTGACAAGCACAATCCAACACTCGTGAAAACACCTCACTTGTAGTCGGTGAAACACTGTCCATTAAAATTAATAATCGATAGTCGCTTCGAACAGCATATATGCCACTCCCATCCTTGCACCATACTCTGTAATCAGAATGACAATAATTCATGAGCGGAATACTAAGAATACATTATGCCTCATCTTCAGTAAACAAATCCAAAATTCGTCCCTCATCCCATTCTTTTGAGGAAGACTTCAGTAGGATCGAGACGGAATCTACCTCTACTGATCGAGGGGAATTAATATGTCACATTTCTTGTAACGCCTCGAATCCCGGTTAGGAATTTTGGGTATATTTGATTTGGACCTTAGAATAAATCATATTAGCCCATGAAGAGTTAACCTAAGTAGCATTTGATTTGGGCTTGTGATGAGCCCAACAAGATTAAAAAAGAGGTTTTTAATCTTGGATTAAAAGTGGAGGGACTTGGAGAGATATTTACCCATTTATTTGAATCAAAGTCGAATCCCATTAATTGGGATGATCTCACGTTATGATTTTCCTCTCCTCTTTTTCATTGCCAACTTTGTCTCTTCTTCCCCACACTTTCATCTTCTTCCTCCCTTCCCAAGCTAAGCAAAGTTAGAAGCTTTAAAAGGATTCAAGCATCCCTTGTGAATTCTAAGGTAAGGTTCACAATCTACAACTTCTAAGTTTTCATTTAAACACACCTTTGCAAGTTTTTGCCTAGTTCTCCAAAAATGGGTTTTTATTGGGGTTTATGAAATTCTAAGCTTTAGTTTGTTTCGAGGGATTTGGCCGGTAGAAAAGCGTTTTTAACTTTGTTTTAAGACTTAAAATGGGTTAACAACTCATTTTCATTGCTTTGGTTAATGCAAGAGCAAAGTGAGAACTCAAAGGCTAGAGGCAAGGAAAAACTAGTCCTTGGTTGATTAGGGGATGTTTTTAGCAAGTTAGCATCAAGGTAACACGATTCTAACTTGATCATACCACATGTAGGTAATTTTATGTACATAATTGGTATGGTAAGCTCATGAAAGCATGCTAGAGAAAATCCATGGCATAATTCGTATTTGGTGTTTGTAAGCATGAAAGATGAAAACTTTTGACCTCTAAGACCTCAAATAAGACTCTAATAAGCTTTACAAGTCCTAGGGGAGTGAATGGGTGAGTTTTGGGTATGATTTTGTGCTTAAAATATAGCACCCAGGTCCGTTGAAATCGGTACTAGAAAAACAATACCGATATTATTCTTTGTGAAAGGCAAAAACCAAATAATTTATAAGGGCAATATCGATACTTCGCGCCCAATATCGATACTCAGAGGGTCAGTATCAATACTGAGGTATTTTTGGAAACATCGAAGCTAAATTTGGTATCGATACTCCCCATAGGTGTATCGATACCAAGGTATTTATCGGAACATCGAAGTTAAATTTGGTATCGATACTCAGGTGAGTATCGATACCCTAGGGGACAGTATCGATACTGATGACACAGTATCGAAACTCGCGATAAATTTTGACAATTTTGGTTTATTCGATTTGGGAGTTCGAGTTTGGGTGGTTTAAGTTCGTATATGTTACAAATATTTAAAGCAAGTGAAAATAAACAAGTAAATTCTCACCTAGAAGTCGAGCAAGATAGAATCAAATAATATTTGCCTTTATACAATGCTCAGGAAACGGTCAAGATTATGATGATCATCCTTTGTTTGTGAATATCATAATATTGTCTGTTGGTACGCATCCGACGCATAAAAGTTCGGGTTATATCCGTACGAATTTTGATGCACGTAAATTCTAAAATTGTACCATATGCTCGACTAGGTTTGGGATATGAGCTTTCGAAGCAAGTAAATTTCAGAATTTACTTCAACCTCTCAAGGATTCGAGGTAGACTAAGGGTTATAAGTTCCTATACACATAAATTTTGGTTGTTACCCTGAAGCTATCACGTTCTAGATAGGCTAGTGTGTTGTCCGAGATGCACGTAAATTTCTCCGATCACACCACTGGGCCTATCTCATGTTTGTTATGTACTTTTGCATGTTTTTGACCTTGCATTCTGGCATGTTAATGCAATGATTGCATGTAGTATTACATAGTTATTTTCGTGGCATTGAGCTTGTGAGCTTAGCGTATCGAAT